TGTAGAAGGCCTCATCAACTTCCTCCTCCTGGTCAGGTGGCCTGTAGTACACACCCACAATAACATCACCCATATGAGGCTGTCCCTTAATTCTAACCCATAAGCTCTCGACTCCTTCATCTGCCCCCAGGGAAAGCTCAATGCATTCCAGTTGCTCTCTCACAGACAGAGCACCTCCACCACCTCTCCTTGTCGGCTTTTCTTTTCTTAATAGTCCCTCTCAATAAGCCCCGCCAGCTATTTATAATAAGTATTACATAATCCCACCTCTCTCCCAAGATTGGGCCCTCAGTACTCACCTACAGTAGCAAAGACTTGGCAGCCCATGCTCAGGGCAATGGCAATGGAAGCCCCGCCAGCTATTTATAATAAGTATTACATAATCCCACCTCACCCCCAAGATTGGGCCCTCAGTACTCACCTACAGTAGCAAAGACTTGGCAGCCCATGCTCAGGGCAATGGCAATGGCTGCTTGGCCCACACCTCCTGAGCCAGAGTGAATAAGGACACTCTCACCCTTCTTCATACCACCTCGAATCACCAAAGCATAATAAGCAGTGGCATAAACCACAGGGACTGAGGCTGCTTCTTCCAGAGTCCTAAGCAGCAAAGTGAAAGAGAGAAGATAAACTTTAGCCTTGGAAAAGAATACTAGATTCCCCGTGATAAAATCTGACCTTTCCATTGCAGAAAAGCAAACTGCTGAGCTAGACCAAAAAGTTCAAATGGTTCTCAGTCATACAGCAGACTACCACAGCTGCCAAGCACAGCCAAGAGTTTCATCCTCCTGCAAAAATATTTCAGGAACCAACCAGTAACATAACCAACACTGAAATCCCAGTGTAAGCTGACACATATGGAGCTAAGAGCCCAAGCAAGGGATGAGAACCTTCTGCAAGCCACTGTACAAAAAACTAGCACTCAACTCCTGCAGTGAATCTAAGCTAAATCCTACTGCTGCTCAGGAGACTATAGCTCCATTACCATTTTCCAGAGGGGAATCTACCCATTGTGCCATCCTCTAGTCTGATCAGGGCTGTCAGCCTCAGACAGGAAGGCAAATCTTAACCATATACACAAACCAAAAAAACAGAAGTTGACCTACCAGTTTTTAGGCACTTCCCATAGAAACTTCTTGTCACAGTCTACTACTGTAGCCAGCCCCTTTGCCGGCAGCAATCCCATCACCCTTTTTCCAGCCAGGTCCCGTCCTGAGAACTCCATGCCCAGCATGCACTGCTGCAAAGCCCAGTTACCTGAAAGAACATTAGCATCTTTTACACAGGAAATTTCTCTTTTAAAATCCCTTGGTCACCAACTTACTACAACAGTAGTCCCTGGAAGCTGGAACCCCAGAGACAGAAAAAGTGCTGGGATTTGTCTACTATGTACCCAGTTCACAAGTGACTATAGTTAATTTCTCACTACAAGAGTAGCAGAAAAAGGCTTTATTTTCCAGTTTTCATCTGAAAAATTTTATGGAAACATCCTGTTTCAGAGACAATTTTGTTTCTCTTTGAAAAAGAATGATACATAAACTAGAAAGGATGATCACAGCAAAAATATCTTTACTATGAAATCTTTAATTTTTGTAAACAGTCATTTTAGGCAGAGACTAATCTCAGTCATGAAGGGAAACCCAGCCCTAGTCACGTCGCCCGTAAGAATCTCCAAAGGCACTTTTTATATGTTCCATCCTCTATCCTTTAAATACAGCTTTAAAACCATTTAATATATATTAATTCTTAACTCACTATAAGGCAAGATATTATCACCTCCATTTTACAGACAGGAGATTACTTCATCCTGCCTTTTTCTCCCCTAAGAGGAAAAGGCATGTCCAGTAGCGTGGCAGCATGAAACTTCAACATTCTCATCTTAGTATGAACCCTGCCCACCTCCAGAACCTCCATCAAGTTGCTTCACCTCATGCTTGATATCTACATAATGGGGCTAGTAGTGTTTCCTCGCAGCAAGTTTTATTAATTTTGCCATATGAAAAATGAGACTGCAACTGAAAGTAGACCTGACGAGTTTTTGATGTACAGTCCTGCAGTAGGGCTATACTTCCTTTACAAAAGTATGCTTTCTTGCTAAACAAAACCTGATAGATGCTTTAGCCAGTGCATGGCCAACGCTCAGGAGATACACGAATAAATTCTAGAACTGTAATATGCAAACACATTTTCTTCTAGTGTAACTTTAACTCACCAGGAATAGCATCTGGAGAAAGCTTTCCTGTGGCAAGCATAATGTCCCGAAAGTTGAGAGATGCATAATAGACTTTGCAGAGTTGAACATTGGGATTAGTTGTGTGGAAGTGCCGAAGCGGGGAGACAATCCAGCGAAGAGATGAGAGATCTCCACGAGTCAACACATTCACATAGGCATACTCTGTCAACTCCTGAGGTTGTGCTGCAGAAGGAACAGTAAGAACTTCACACACATTTACTCATTCTGGAAAGCGCATGCACATGTTAATTCCTTGTGTAATTGCTACCTCCTCCTCTATTTGCTCTCCAGAAAGCCCTTTCTTACCCTGCAATACTACCCATACCCTAAATAGCTCATCCCTCCTCCGGATACCTGAGCACGCTACTGTTCACGCTAAGCTGCGGCAACGGAATTCCAAATTATCCATCAAAACACAGTAACAAAAAATAATTGTAGGAACAATAGCTACGCATTTTCTATTAAAAGCCATTCAGACTCAAAGCCCTGCAAGTGGTCCTCAGACCTCAAAAGAGTTACCTTGCTGCAATGGGAGATGCCTGAAGGAGCCCCACTTTCCATCACGACACACATTCATCACCAGGTCCCTCTGAACAATCTTCTGCATCTCCAGTGAAGACAGACTTGTGGGTGGGACAGCTGATGAAGGGTTCAAGTTGGAAATGAACACACACCTAGAAGCCAAGAGTTGTCATTTTTTTTGTTTTGCTATAGGCCTGAAAAGAAGCTAAGACAAAAATATTCCATCTCCAACTGCAACTCAAGGGCATGCTTACATACCTGATTCTGTGGCCTTCTGCTTCAAGGCGGAGGCAGTTCACCATTCCCAGAATTCCTGAGTTCCCACAACTGACGGCAGTCAACCACACAGGCTGCTCTGATGGGTCTGCCAAGACCTTCTGCAAGACAAATGCCAAACTGTTTTATTAGGAAGCACAGAAAGGATATAGCCCTCGTATCGTTAAGGTAGAGATTAGTAACTTCTATTTTAAGAAAAGTAACTGAATGCACATACTTTTAACACCGCTAGATATCTCATTTAGGAAGTGTAATGATTTGAAAATTCAGATGTCCAGGGCATGGGATTTCTCACCTTTAAGGATTCAACCCACTTATAATCGGTCTCATCTATTGGCAGAAAAACAGGTGTTTTGGCAGGGGCTTGCCGGCGACACAGGAAAATAACCGATCCAAAGAATGATTTCTTCATAGCAACCAGATTCAGTGAGGCTTTGCTGAATAAGCCTTCCCACTGTGCCTGTCAAATCAGGTAAAACAACAATTAACAGGAAAGTCAGAAGTCAATTAAAAATACAAGTCACATCTATACTTCATGTTGAGTCTCCTCAAAGATGGCTTCACCAGGAACAACAGGCACCATACACCTCTTTCTTGCTTGAAATCTTGGCAACTGTTCTGTATTATCTCAGTACAAATATATATTTGATTAACGTAACACTATTTTATCCATGTCTAGGCTATTCCTTCTTCCCCAAAACATCCTCAGAAAGCAGTAGTAAAAGTATCTTGAAGCCCTTGTTAGGGAACTAGTCTTACCACACTACCGGGTGTCCAAAAAACAGAGCAGTGACCATGCTGTCAAATCCCATAGGGTATTTGAATGTGTCTAGAACTTAATTCCAGCAGTAAGGCACACCTCTACAGACAAACACAATGTACAGATTCTAACACAGAAAACAACAGAAACGGAAACAGTGAGTTTAGAAGTTACCAATCTGTCACATAAGCTCTCTCTGCAATAGAAAAAGTAAGGTGGGACAGAGGAAACATGAAAAACCAAGTCACCGAAATCCTTCAGCTGCAGGGAGGTGGGAAGAAGCACCTATACACGTAAGTTGCATTGAAACAGCATTTCAGAAGAACAGAATCAAAATGCACGTATAGCGTATCAAGAAACACTGCGGCTCTACTATCTGAATAAACATGATGGCAGGCTCTTAGAAATGCATCCATTTGCTTTTCATACGCCAGGGACAAAACAGTGAAAAGTTTTTACAGCACAATCACTTATGTCAAAGACTAGGGACACTGTCCCTATCTAGAAAACCTTAAGAACTATATTAAGTCCAGCCTACTCTCACCTGTGTAGTACAATTTTCTTTAGAGAAGATACATTCAAACCACATGTACCTTATCCAAGGAATGTGCTAATACCAGGCTACTGATACTTATGGCAGATCTACGTTTTAAGTTATCAGCTTCAGTAGCATCACATCACAGAGTCTTCTTTTTATCCTCGTCTTTAGTGGGACGCAAAGCCAAAGAACTCAACCTTTCTTCTCAAATCTCCTTGAAAAAAAATCTTTGCAGAAAGTGAAGGGCTATAATCCATGTAACTACAAAATTCAAAATCCAACTACCACACTCCAGAATTATAAAGAAGTTTATAAACTATTAGAAGTGCTACTCTCTTCTTATTCTAAAAGAAGAGCTGAGAGGCTACAGCCCCTCAAATCAGAAATAATTTGTATGTTCTGTAGATGAGCAGCTTCCCATTACTGCTTAGTCCAACAGCTGCCAAGAGAAGGTGATGCCCCAGTTCCCATCCTTACCATAGCCACTCACTCTCTCCTCCTCTTGTGCTAGCATCGACATTAGTTCATCTGCATGATATACCGGTTTGCAGATACAAAGCAGAGATAATGCCACCCCACCCCCCCAACTTCAGAGGACTTATTTTGCTGTTTCTCATTATGGGATCAGATGAGGTAAGGAGGAAGGAAAGGAAGGAATAAGGAAAAAAAAGAAGAGTACAAGAGTAAAGTCTTCCTTTCTGAGAGCACTTCAGTGTTAGAACTTAACTAGTTTATAAAGTCTCACTCCCAGCAGTGATATCAAAAGGAAGAGAGATATCCTGATACTGAAACATTTTGGGATCCTACAGTGATAAACCTGTAACCCACACCCAACAAGACACCACATTACTTTAGCTATAGAAGAATTGTCCTGGCCAGTGTTTTCATACAGATAATATAGACATACAAATGACAACGAATAATGTTCAATGCATTAAGAAAGGCTATCCTGACTGAATTCACAATTTAGTCTCCCAGCCTAGTATGTGGAAATTCACAACTCTTCTCTTCTGAAGTGTTTATTATGTATTCCTACAGACGGCCTCATCGGAAAGTGATGTAAGTGATGTCTACTCAACATTCATCCCAAGAGCATCTGCAAGCAGCAGACTACAGACTATCCACTGAAAAAGTATTTATCCTTCCAGGAGGCTCACCTCACTCAGGAAGCTGTGTTTCTGCTGTAGATCTGGACTTGCAAGGAAACTGACAATTTCTCCAAGAGTTTCTCCTTTAAGAAGGGTGTGTAGCAAAACAAACCCTCCTTCTTTCACTGCAGCTGCCAAATTAGAGAGAATTTCAGTGGTGTTCCCTAGAACACTTGTCGAACAGTTGTATACCACCAGGTCAGCGTTGGTCAGATTTCCAGAGGGAAGGCTAGATGGATCCCACTGGCTAAGGAGAACTCCAGCATCTTGTAGCTCCTTTTCATTAGCTGAAAGAGTTTCCAGAATGCGGTCAGTTGCAATGTAGTCCACCTGCAACAGGGGCTGAGTGTTCAGAATACTTTTGACACGAGAGAACAGATGTCCACTTCCTGCAAGAGCCTGTGAGAAAAGATGGGGAAGGAAAAGGGGAAAACAACTTGAAACACAAGCAATATCCAAAATTATAACTGGAACAACAGAAGTATGCGATCAGGTTACTGGTAGGCCTAGAAACACTAGCTATAGTCCCATCCCGGGCTTCCAGCTAACCTCTACTATCTTCATCCTGTGACTGGTCATGTTCTCCAATGCCATATCCAGACAAGTCTTCAACTCTGAAGAATCTAGCAATCCATTGAGAAGAGGGTCGTCCTGGAAGTGCATTTTCTCTTGAGTCACAATCTGTTCCAGCTCAGAATGGAGGTTTCCATTCAGTTCCAGATGGCAGATTTCAGCAAGGATATGCTGAAGGCCCTTCTGTATGGGTGAGGACTCTGCAGCAGCCACTGCAGTTTCTAGTCCAGGGATGACTAATTTGACCCCATGCACTGCCACCTTAGCCTGTAAGTTCTGGATCAGATCTATGGAATAGAAGGGGAAATGAAAGGAAGAGTCAGGTTTTCCAAAGATTTTTCTTTTCCTCTTCACCTCCATTTGCTATACCAGCTGATCAGCACCACAAATCACACCATCTCGTATCACTAGCCTAGCCACAAACATACGGTGCATGCTCCTGTACATTCACATGATTATGTATCGTGCAGCAGATGCAGCCCCCAAACAAGTAGGCTTTGTGGCAAGACAGTCTAAAACACCAAAATTACCTGTGGCAGGACTGACTGAAAGAGGGCAACCAACACAAAACTTCTGACTGATTTAGGGAGTTGTGGAGGGAAATTGTAAGCTTCCGCAGATACTAAAATGCTATTTTGCTTTCCAACCAAACAGAAAATAGCTCATCCTGAGATCAGAAACAGCATTACAAAAAATAAAATTCCCACTACAGCACATGCAAAAAAAAAGTCTTTGAGGATAGTATTTGGACACTGCAGGAAAAAAAAAAAAGGAAAACTTTGAAATCTATTGCCAGATCAAAGGATGAGTATGAAGACGCTTTACCAATACAGAGTGACAAAATTGCTGTCTCCAGATATAGCAACATTTATCACTAGAGTAAAAGCTTCAAAATAAAAAAAAGTAATTTCTGTCCCTTTGATGAAAAGGCACTTGAAATGATGAGCTAAGTGGATGTCTCACCATCCAAAGAGCACTGTACTAGGCTACAAGCTTTGCAATAGACTAAGCTGCTCCTATTCTATTCTTGCAGTAAACACAAACTATTTTTTTTGGTGTGCCTCGCTAAACAACCTTCTGTTCTTGGATATGCTCTTGCGCCCACAACCTAACAGTAACAGACATGTCAGCTTACCCGTACCTTGGCAGTTCACAGGTAAAAACAAAACAAGAAAGCTCAAGACTTGAGGAAGCAGGATCTCCTGTTAAGTGTCTGAAGCAACTAGGCTAGATTTCTCCTTAAAGAAGATCACTTGTGCCTCTCTGCTTGCAGAGGGGAGTTGCGCCATCTGATACCACACTGACTGTTATAAAAGCGTAGATGCCCCTCCTCATGGCTTTACTCCTACCCACATTCTAGATATACCTCAGGCAGAAGCAGCTACTAGCAATCATACAGACATACGACTCCTGCTGAAGTCTCCTATAGAGGCCAAGACTATTTCTTGGATGTTCTGAAGTAGTATGAACTGCTTCTATCAGACATTCCCGTCAGGCTGGAAGATTCCCCTAGTGTAACAAGAAACCAGTCCCACTGTACCTTTACAGTGCTCCAGATAGGCATGAAGATGGACACTGGAAGACAAACAGTCACTCTCAGTATAGGGCACAAAGCAGAATTTTTCCAAGGTGGGAGGGATCCGTTCCTGTTGTCGTCGTGGTGCCACAGCAGCATGAAGGCCATTGATCTGAACACCCCCTGCTTTAAGGCTATCAAGACAGTGGTCCACAACAACATCAAAAGCTGAAGGACAGGAAAGAAACATAAGTTTGCATCAAACACTGCAAGTATCTTATTCAAGGTGACCAGATGAACAACTGTGCTATGTCAGACTGCTACAGAGGTCCAGAATAGCTTGGAGACTAAGAGGGTCCCCCAAAGTCCATCCTATTTCCTAACAAGTCATACATTCATCCACACAGCAGTCAGAAGAACTAGCAAAAGCCCAAGCATGAGAGACCTTACCTTCTACATCGTCCTGGTATTGGCACACCTGCTCCTGATGCAGCACTGGGTCAATAAGTACTGAGCGAATCCTGGTGGGTAAACGCAGACTGCGCCCAGTCTCAGCTAAGATTAGTACGTGTAGCAGGCTGTCAAGGAAGGTCACCCAGTTCCTATTCCACTGGACCTTCCCAGTGCTTGCTGCAGAATAAGAGGAAGCAGAAGCCTTGCTGTGATTCTGTCTTTCCGCAGATGCCAGAAGTCACTGCTTATCAAATGCAAAGTCTGCCATATATACCCAGCTACTCCAATAGTCAGTTCTACATCGGACATAACAGCTTTCCCAGTGCTCTGTCAGAACTCTTGGTTCTTCTCCATTATCACACAAAGTATAATTACCACACAAAACAGTCAGGTGGACTATTAATATAAATGGAATTAAAAGACAAAAATATTCATCACTACAATAACCATGCTCATCATTCTTCTACAGAAAGTAAATTCACCTTCACTGTTGCATTCCAGAACGCCCTGGAAAGTTGGTCCATAATTATATCCACGCAGATGCAGCTCTTGGTAAATGTCTTCTTTCAAGAGGCCAGACTTCGAGCTCATGTCTACTTGAGACTGAAAGTCAACTGACTGGTTATGGAAGTTCTTCAGAGCATTTTGTTCTAGGAGGGAAATCTTCCCTGATAGGCACAGTGGCAAGAATAAGCATCATCAGTGTCCATAAATAATGCATTTTAGTAGGACAGTGCATATACTTACACTTCGTTCACTTACCACTCACAGCCAGATTCCCATTCCCTGACACCTCAAAGCAGTGGGAAGCAGGCATGAGTCTTACTTCCAGCTGTACTGATCCTACAAGAAATATTGAGCAAGACGGGACTGTGAGGTCATTCATTGCCACCATCCTCAAGCAGAGCTTTCTCTTTCACCATCTCCAGACTCACTGCGTGCAACATCTAATAAAGACGACCATAACATGTGCTACTTGATGGTATGAATTCACTTCTTTGTTCGGTCATGTTGCACTCTTCTTTACATTCTTCCTCCTCACTTTCCCCTTGTATTTCTTCCTCCCACTCCCTTCGTCTTCATGACACAGTTTTGCAGTTGTACCAGCATTCCTCACTCACCTTTTTTGGGAAGGATAGTCGCCTGATGAATTGTGACTTCTTCAAACATAACAGCCACTTGCTCCACAGCCATCCCAAGAGACCGTGCCAGAGTTCGCCAAGCCAGTACTAGGTACCCAGCTGCTGGGTACAGAACTCTGCCATCAATGCAGTGACCAACCAAGTAGTGGTCAGGAGAGTCAGGACTCACATCTGCCAAAGAATAAGAAGTGCAATAAAAATAAGAACAGCCCAATAAAGAGGTCTTTTCCTCCCCTCAATGTCTGTAAGAGGTTCTAGCTGTTTCCCTAACTATCCTTGCCTTGCAACATGCAGCTCTTAAAACAACCATGAGTCTGAATCAAGCGAGTTTCCTGCTCTATTCATATTCTTTCATCCCATTTCAGAAGCAGATCGAGTCTTTTTCAATCCAAACCAAATATTAAGCTTCAAGGACACTGCTTTGAATATCCTTTTCCTAGTTTTACAGAAGAAATGCAGAGGTAAAGCAGAAAAGAGACAAACAAACAAAAAAAAACAAACAGGCAAACACACCAATATTGTAGAGTGAAGCAGATGCAGAGCCTTTGGAACCTGCTGGAAAGTCTTCAGCTTTTGGAACATCCCAGTCCTGGCTATGGTCCCATTTGATGTATGGAGAAATAAGGGGTGTTCCCACAGGGACAGGGTACTCCACAAGTGGGAACAAGTTATTTCCAAGAACATTTATCCTAGGAAGACAAAAAGGATCAAGACAATGGGGGGGAGGAGGAGAAAAAAGCGGGGTGGGGGGAAGTTCACTATAATAGAAGTCAGACAGGGTCAGACAGTAATTGGTCTTGGACTCCACATCTGAGATTTCTCCAGGTGTACCATGAACACTCACTGCGGCCAAATTTGTAATTCTATCAGTATACAAGACGCAAAATTTATTTCCAAGAGCTAGTTCCAGGTTCCTAGGTCTCTAAAATGGGACTGCTCTTTTAAAAGCATCTTCCCAGCCCAAGCAGTCTCTAACCCAAGGCAACATTTCATACGTGACCATGTTAAATAGGTAAAGCATAGATGTAAACCCCATTTTTTCCAAGTTTCTTGAATTCTGTCCTAACTGATCCCCAACTCACCCTCCTCCCTTAGTCTCCTTACCCAGTTAAATGAATCTTTCCAGTCTGTATTAGGAAGAACTCCAAATTATTTTTGTGCTCTTTCTTCATCAAAGGTAGAATGGTGCAAGTTGGTTTCAAAGTTCTCCTCAAGATAGCCTGGTCAAGTAGAGTCCATAAATCACTGGTAGAAGGCATTACTTACTACTTTGTCTCTAAGTTTTTCTCTATAGATCTCAAACCACGCCTGTTTCTGTGCCAAGAGTTCTGTGCTAGGACGTACACCATTTTAACAGGCAAGAGGAAGAGCAGCACAATATCCTTCCAGCAACCCAAGAAGTTGCACATCTGGTAAAACAGAACCTACACAATACTCATGAACTTCTGCCAAAACACAAATCTCCCTTTCCCAAGCAGACTGTCAAGCAGAATCAAAAGCTGCACTTCAAGAACTGCAAGAAGCAGTTCATCCTCTCAAGCCTCCCACTCACACACGCACCCCACACATAGCCTAGGCCCTTGCTCCCAGGAGCAGCCCTTTTGAATCTGAAGCATCCTAGAGCATTTTCCAAGCAGCAGCTATTAAATAGAAAACCGCAGCCTTGAACATCTGACCCAGCTTGTATCTTCTCTTCAATGTGATCCCACGGTCTTTAAGTAGGAGAAGGAAGAGGGTGGGGAGGAACCAGAACACCCTCAAACCCAGCTGATGAAGTCTTTAGTCACTTGCATTAAAATGGTGCAACGATTTTAACATGAAGCATAAAATCTTTCTACAGAGAAAAATATCTACCTAATTTAAAGGTTCTGCTGAGTCTCCCTTCAGGTCACTTTCAAAGCATAAATAAGGCTAACATGACATAATAAACATACACTGGATTAGAACTCAGAGGCACTGTATAACTATTAAACTTGATTCACAAGTAACCATGATTCCTCTTATGACTTTTCTCCTCTTGCATGCCACAGACCAAATAAAAAAGACCAGTTCTTGAGACTTAATGGACACGCACAAGACCACAGCACTGATCTCGTGGAGCAAGAGCATCCTAACGTACCTCGTGTTCTGCATCCTCTACTATGGAGCTAATTCCACAAGATCAATTCTTACAGGGTGGGGAGGAAGGAAAAATGATCTGATCATTAAGGGAAAGGAGTTTATGAAGAAAGCAAGCTCCTGTGGTCTCAGACTACTTTGTCTAGCGAAAGAGAGGAAAACACTACTGCCAGCTACCACTTTCTAAGACAAAAACCTCAAACCAAATTCACTGTGCAGATGGTGATAACAGATTTTTCAGAGAATTTCTCCCCCCACCCCAATTTTCACACACATCCTCTGTTAGATCAAAACAATGAAATGCTTTTCTTGCTCATTGCACAGTTCAGAGAGCTGACTACCAGCTATCTGAAAGGCAAGGCAATGAATAAAGGCAACACTGAGTGTCTGGATAGTGAAGTGGTAGTGTGTTGGGGTTTTTTTTTTTTTTTTTTTTTTTTTTAACATACACCACCCCCCCAAAAAACCCCAAACCAACCAAAAAAACACAGTAACACCAAAACTCACATTAAAAAACCCATCACGAAAATGTTAAAACTGGGACAGACTCCCAAGTACTGCAGGGAGAAAGTGTTCTCAGAACTAGGGGAAGGGGGGCCAGTATTCCCTCATCCTCAGATCCTCAATCTCCTTTCTGCAGCAGCGTATCAACATCGTGCTATACTGACAACAGTCAAATACAATACCTGTAAAAGAGCATGAGGAGCAATCTCTACTACAACAGCGTTCTCTGGAACATGCTTCAGACCTTCGTGGAACAGCACTGGATTCACTAGGTTGTTCACGTGATACTCTGCAGAGGAATTCCTAGCCAGATCACTCTGCCATTGAGATTCAGGTATAGATGTACTGATCCATCGTGCTGAACGAGGTTTAGGGTGTGGAATAACCTAGAGACAAACAAGGAAGAGTTAATTGTCACACATAACAATCAGACAGGCAAAAGCAAGCAGCCCCTCCTTTTTACAGGCCATTTTTCTCAGCTGGATTGCTCAGGACATCCTTCTGCTTGAGACCACAGGACTTCAAACCTTTGGTCTCAGAGGTCTATATACTCTTCAAGAGATTTCCTTCTCCTCCTAAAGAAAGGAACCCCCTTAAGCACAACATCACCTATACTCAAATCCAGGTGCCTGAGCATAAGCCATGCAAGCCGTAGTTTGGCAATATTACCTTTTTCAGGGCACTCAGCAGCACTGGTGCAATAGACGCCATGTAATAGGAATGAAATGCAACTCCAGCACTGCGCACCTCCTTTGCGAACACACCATCCTTTTTCAGTTTGGCTACAAACTCATTCACAGAGTCCTAAGAAGAGGAATATAAGTGAACTAAAAATAAAAGCTCACAAGGTATTTGGGATCTGTATGAGTCACTGTACTCCCACCATGCCCTCCATCCCTTGCGACTTAAGAGAAGCCATATCTGGGATGAGGTTATTGCCCTTCTCAGTCTTGTAATTTATCACTCATTATGCCCACAGCTATAATACTATTCAGCATAACAGATCTTTTATTACTAGCTTACTAAGATACTAACATCACTTCCTCTCACAGAACATTTAAGTGTTTAAGTTTATACAAAGCACCATGTCCCTTGCCATCACTTTAATCCAGCTCCCCTTTGCAAGCAGCTGAGCTGTAACTCAGCTAGCTTCATGCTTTCTTCAAACCAGAACTTCACAGGTCCCAATCACAACTGCAGTATGCACCATATCAGCTCCTTGCTCACCAGAGGCCCCGAAACAGTGACAGTATCTTCAGAGTTGTGACAGGCTGGTACCACATGCGGAGGACAGCGTTGCTTACATTCCTCCCATGTCAGACCTGCAGAAGGAAGACCACAGGAGAACACAAGTGTTTCTAGCCATAAGCCTCATAAGGTGAAGCAATCTGAACTGCACAATCACTGTGCTTAATTCAGCATTTTGCAAAACTGGGAAGGATTCTTAAGAGAAAGATAGACATCCCCCTTTCCTCAAATGGGATTCTACAAAAGCAAAGAATATTTATCTCAGGGCTTTAACATGACATTTATCACAGTGACACTGAGCACAAGAACAGAGAACTGAATCTTTGTACCATCCCATTAAGGGATGGGGTGGGGGGGAACCCACACACTTTCAAAGAAGCTACAGAATTGTTTGTTTAGTTTCATCTTGCCCTTAGCATTCCGAGCTAGAACAGAAGAGAGAACACGTGAGCTTGACACACAGAAATGGAGAGCCACAAAACACCCATAGAAATTGACAACTGTAGTGGCTTAAATTAGCTTAACACATGCAGCATCTGGTCATATATTACATGGATACCAGTCACAGGAAGAATGAATTCAACACCAGATTATGAAAAACATACTATATGCAGCACTCCGAGATAAGTTCTGTGATAAGTGTCATGTATTTAATGTCAAGGGGGAAAAAAAAAAAAGCTAAATTAGGTAGGTAGTCCTTCGTAGAATTAATTAAAGTACAAAGTACAGGACTATAACAAGTGATCTAGTGAAACGTACTGCATGAGACCTGCAGCAGCTCTTCTCTTGTTTCAATTTTCAATTGACCACTGCATCCAATAATAAAAAAAACAGAAGAACAGCAATGCTGCCAATAATAATTTTATTTTTAAACATGTAAGTCACCACGAAGCCACATCAAAAATTAAAACTGCTGGGCCCAAAGCTCAAACATTTCACCCAGTAGTGGGCAAATCTACGTGACTTAGGAAGAAGCTTTTTCCAGAACAAGCTTTGCTTAGTGTTTCTCTAAGTGCTGTTAGGCCTAAGTAAGTTCTAATGTCATTATGATCCACTATCCAGTTGCTTACAACGTAATAGTGGCTTACTGGTTTCACGTCTCATCATTCTTGAAGACAATCATAAATATATGGGGGTTTTTTAACAATTTAAATATATACATGTGTGCATATGTATACGCACGCACATACATATATATCAAGAGCCAAAAACCCCAGTGCCTTAGATTTTCACCTCTCTTTTCAAGGAGATTATTTATCAGGCCTCTGTCATTGGTCACCTGTCAATACCTCTCTCTATTTCCACTTAGTTTTGGATGGATTACTAAAATTCTGCTGTACTCCAGGTCAGAGATTACCACCATTATATAAACTTCAATTTTTAATAACATATTCTACATCAGAATAAAAAGAAGAGGTAACAGTAGCCAAAAATTTACAGGCATAATTGTCTCCACCAACACATTTCAGAGCCCAGTTTTATCCCAATGCCATACAACAGAGATCACATGTACTTTCCCACATCGCTCTTTTGGTAAGGGTGTACCTACCAACAGCAGCCATTCCTCCTGGGGGCAATTTGGCCTCTTTAACACATCGTCCCCGCCAATAAGCGGCAAGAACAGCTTCCTCGTGACTTAAGGAGTTGTCTGCATAGCCACAAGCTAGTTCTCCCACCGAGTGGCCCAAAATCCCATCAGGTTGTAGACCTGCAGCCTTCAGCATATCAATCTGTGCAATCTGCAAGGAAAAGTAGAATTAGCGATTCCATGACAAAGCAAGCAGGTGTCAGGCCTCAAAGGCACACACCAGTAATGAGTACATTACAAAATGGCTTTTGGTACAGACATTCTTCTCAGACTCACTGCTTTTTATCCCCTCCCCCCCGTAGCTCCAGTGTCATTTCACAGCAATCGTTATGAGACTCCAGCATTGATTTGGCCTCTCCACTACGTAGCTTTCCAAGAAGAAGCTATTTCCAACAACAGGAGGTTGCCAAGAGCATGTCTGTACAAAGAGGAAAGACCAGCTTTCCAGATCACTTTAAAATCTCTGCCTCTAACTTATTAAGAAACAATGAATCACACATTGACGCTCTGAATTAAAAGAGACTTCATTTAGCACCATTTAGTTAATTTGCACAACAAATTTTAGATGACGTTCTATGGAACCTTGCTCCTTGGCACATATGTTCACACAAAACTTACAGACATTCTTTACTCTCTTAAAAGGGGAAACTGTCCCACATACGCACACAGATACACACGCAAATCTGTTTAGGTCAATATTCATCCAAGTGTCTTGCAAATAGCAGAGCCCAAAACTGTCAAGGGTGCAACATGCTCCCTCCTACCAGAGAGATATTTCTAACAGCTGCCATTTGATGATTACACAAAACAAACTTCTGTTAATCAGTATAAAGTGTTACTGGCCAAAGAGACACAGTAGCAGAGCACGCTTCTGTGGATTGAGTCTATGACGCCCTCCACCAGTCATGTGAGTCTTACCTGAATAGCAGCTAGTCCAACGAACGCATGGACGGTGTCGTCAAAAGTGTTCTCGTCTGCTTGCAGAAGCAGGTCCGAGACCTTTAGGCCTGTGTTCTTCAAAGCCTCGTCCGAGCGCCATATAGACTGGCGAAACAAATCCAACTTCATAAGGCTCAGGCCCATACCTTTCCACTGTGTTCCCATGCCTGCAGGACAGATGAGGAGAAAGCGAGCTTTAGTAATGCTCCATAACAGGAGTAAACATCACACACTTGCTCTGACAGTGAAAGAATTCTAAGAGTAAAACATTGTACGTTTCTAACATCCTCTAAATCAGGCACTGCTTTTTATTTTCCTGGACTTTGCTATCATCAGAAGACAGCAAAGTTGGAAGGATTAGATAAAACACAGGAAACATGAGTCTCCTAGACATATCACAGGCCTGCAAGATATGTCCTTATGCCAGAGTGGAAAACATAAGAGCACAGAATCAAGTTGCTCCAGCCCCACATGTATAGAGGAACGAAGTAGCCTGGACCCATTGCTGCATACCTACCTGAGCAGATGTACCAGAGAGGTCTACCAGATGCTTGAACTTGCTGAACCTCTTTTATGTCGTTCTCAGTGCCAACTAGTGTGTAGCCCCTGTAGGGCATGGAGGATACAGGAACTGCAGAGATATCGCTGAGCATGCTTACAAATGGGCTGCATCCTCCATGTTTTCTGCTCTCTTGAATAAGTATTTCCACAGCTTCCTGCGTTCTGCCACAAATTTGAACCAGTCTTGGCATGTTACAGGTCTCCAGAGGCTGGCGTTTGTTTTCATTTGGCCTCAGAATTACATGGGCATTAGCACCTCCAAAGCCAAAAGAGTTGATACTGACAAGGCCACCTTTCACTGGCATAGGTTTACAAACTACCTTTAGAGAGCCATCTTGTAAGGCAGGAATATCTGGATTTGGGGTATTGAAATGAAGATTTGGAGCCCACAGCCCATGTTCCAGAGAGAGAATCACCTGGAAGAAAAAACAGAACATTTTGTGCTCCACATTTTCTTCTACCAAACACTATTTTGTTGTTACTGTTTTACCATAAACAACCATGATAGCATACACTAAAGCAGCTCTCTGCTTGGATAAAGGGACACTTCAGAGAATAGCATTACTGATGTTACTGAGGTAGTACTTAGTTCACCTAGGCAAATTTTACGTCCATGCAGGAAGTCAGCAGTGAAGGTAAAGGTGGTAGCTTTACGTTTAGCTTCCAGACCCTTTCTAAACTAGAAAGTCATGCAGTCTTGCTGGAAAAGCAACCTGGCTACTAAGAATATCACATCTTCCTCCTCCCCTTTCAGATCCTGTCCCTTCATCTTTCCCCAGTCACACATCACTACATATGCTCTTCCTTATCACTACAAATGCTTCCATTTCTGCCTTTGCTGCAAAAGAGCCAAGCTGAAGCACTGGTAAAGGAGTTTGCTTGCTGCTTTGCACCCATTTGTTGTCTTCTTGATCCAGAAAAGCAGGAACAGCAGACTGGTCAGAACTTGCAGAGCCAATGGGAAGCACAGAAACAGTGCTAGTTAGAATAGCTGTGCCAAAAAAAGCAAGTGCTCCCTTCTCTCAGCAGCATCTCTACAAACAGCCAATGACACCAAGCCCATACTCCTCTGTGGCACAAGTCCAGCAAATCACAGACTACAAGGTCAGGTGCAAACACTCCGTGCTTTGTGTGTTTGGCAGTTCCTTGATCACCCCAAAATGGCCAGAGAAACAGATACTCATTTGGGAACTGTTCTTCCAAGTTGATTATCAGACACGGCAGCCTACCTGGGAGAACCACCAGCATAAATGTATGGTTTCAACTCCAGTCAGCATGTTTAAAGTTGCAGTTTAAGTACTTTCATGCACACTGTCCTACACCTACCATACTACGCACTATGAACTTGCTGTTGCTTGACACAGCATACCTATTTGTACTTTTAAGTCTGCCATGATTTCCACACAAGTTTGAGAGTACAGTACAGTGAGCGTACACCACAGCCACCAAGAAGCTTTGTCTCTGCTGCTCAGTAAGTAATTAGACAAGCCAAGTAGTTCAAAGACACATGTGAGTTTTCCCTCCCTTACCAGAATTTCACTAAAATGGCCTTGGCAAGTGCTAGTTTCTTTCCTACCTATCCACATAATTAATGGATTCTCTTTAAGCCTGAAATCAGACACTTTCAAGATTTGTTTTCCAACTTATCATATGTGACATTTCACATACAAGAGCATTTTATGGAATTCCAAAAGAAAATATTTACGGAAACTACAGACTTTCCAAGACAGTTTCTGTCTAAGAAACAGTGGCGTTAGTCTCAAGGACATCTGATCTATCATTCTGATTAACTTCCAAATCTTAAACTACCGAGTGCTGCCCAACTTTCAAAAGACAGAGCTTCCAATATCCTTCCAAAGCTTCAGGTGCTTTCAAGATGCCAGATCTGGAAAAAAAGACCTCACACAACTTAATAAAAGCACAGCAAACAGATATTCAGGCACGCATGATGGGTGTCATGGGCTCTTGCCTGCAGCTGTAAGTTCTGATACAAAGTTAAATGAGAAAACTGACAAAAAAAAAAAGTGAGAAACATGGTGTCAGAGAATTCTTCCAAATGAAATTGTGGCTCTCATCTTTGCAGTTCTGCATCCTCTAAGAAACAGAGACAGGGAAACAGTAGCTCAAAGTTATGATCCTGTCCTGACAGATCACCGCAGAACTGCACTAAACAAGCTGTTTATGTTGTCCTGGTTTCGCCTTGGATAGAGTTAATTTCCCTCCCAGTAGCTGCTGTACTTTGGATTCAGTACAAGAAGAATGTTGGTAACACTGATGTTTTCAGTTGTCGCTACTAAATCACAGACTTTTTCCAGTTTCTCATACTCAGCTAAACATCAGGTGGGCAGGAGCTTGGAGGGAGTATAGCCAGGCAGCCAGCCCAAGCTGGCCAATGGAAATATTCCATACCACAGATGGGATGCTCAGTTTATGAATGAGGGTTGGCCGGGGGGCAGTCAGGAAGCTTTCTGCTCTCCTGTTTTCTGTGAGTTCGAACCCTCTCTCATCTGGGAGTTTGAACTTTTTCAGGAAATTAGCAAAATTCACAAGCTTGGCGTTCCGTGATTACTGCTCAAGGACTGGCTGCAGATCAGTCATCAGGTGGTAATAAAAATTATACTGTATACAGTTTGTTCTGCATATTCATTATTATTAGTAGTATTTCCTTTGTTGTCTTATTAAGCTGTATTTAATATCAACCTATGAGTTTTCCCTTTCATTCATTTCTCCTTCCCATCCCACTGTGTGGATGGTGAGGGGTGAGTGAGCAGCCTTCTAGTGCTTAGTTGCCAGCTGCCAGGTTAAACCATGACAAAACAAACCTTTTCACCCATACTGTATTGTGAAGTTTATGACTCAGTTATCATTCCTTCTATGAAGAAGGTGTCAGTCTGAAGAGACGGAGGTGCTAAAAAAAGTAAACTTCTCTTTACAGAGAGACAGACACTGCAGCCTCCATGTTTATTTGCAGATGAGGCTATTCAGAGTAAGTTGTATGTATTCAGGTCACAACAAGTGCTTTAAAGAGCCTAAAATTCTAGCAGTGACAGTGTACATGACTTCAATTTGCGTGGCTCTAAAACTGTCAGTAATAGGCTTACAACCAAGTGTGAACATTAGCTAGCTCTCTGCTAAGCAGTTTAGCAGCCACAGCCAATAGATGATCATCTGCCTACAGCAGTAGTTAGTAGGCTGGTTGCTAAGACAACCAGTTATTCAAGCTGGTAGCCTCATCTGGAAGAGCTCACCTGGCTTCTTGCCAACACAAGCGAGACAACGTGATAAATCCCTGACAAACAGCCAGAAGGAACAGATACTCTTTTGGCACCAAAAGCACATGCTGCCTCTTATCGTTGGTCATTGCCAACTACTCCAAACATTTAAATCTCTCTACTCGTACACCCCTCAAACCCAAATGACTTACAGCTGAGTTCTGCTGGAAGGTCCAGTATAAGGATAACCAATAAAAAGTCATCCCAAAGTCTTTATTACAAACAGAGTTATGCTCCTGTAAAATTCAGTAGGAAGGGGGAACTAAAGTGTGTGTGCACACAGCAGAGGGCCACCTGGGCTTTCATGTCCAGCTTGCAGAATAGCCACCTGAGCTTTTAAAAGTATATGCAGGTGAAGCAAGAAGTAGATGATTAATGAGAATCACCCGAGTTCTTCTCATTACTAGTGAACATCTTGTCCTGAATCAGAGCACACTTTCCTGAAAACAAACACTATAAAACCCACACACTGTTGTGTTCCCCCCTCCCAATTTTCCTTCTCAAGCCACCTGTTACCTTGGCTAATGCAGCAAGACCAGAGGCAGGCTCTGGATGACCCATGTTTGACTTGGTTGATCCAATCAACAGTGGCTCTCTCTCACATTGACAGAAGACATTTACAATGCCATTTACTTCCTGTGGATCTCCAACCTAGTAGGAAGAGAATCAGAATGGCTATTAGATAGCACTTCCAAAACACACCAGAAGAGAGAAATCTGAAAGATAAAAGATGTTCAAGCAAAATGCAAGAGCAGTGAAGCAGTACATATTCCAGTAACTAGCAGAAGGGAGAAATAGTTCATTCTGGAAACAACAAAGAATAGTTTGATGAAAAGAGCGTGGCAAGTGATGCAAGGGAAGAAAATAAGGGAGAAGAAAACACTCCAAACCCAGAAGGGGCCATGCTGACCTTGGTGCCCGTCCCATGAGCTTCAACATACTCCACTTCTCCAGGGTTGACACCGCTTTCTCTGTACAAAGAGCTGACCAACTGCTGCTGCATCTCTCCAGATGGGAATGTCACACCTAGGACCAAAATTGGCATCAATTCCTCCCTCCTATCAGGTGTTTCCTGTTCTGATTTTAGCACCCTTTCAACTGTCTGAGGCTACCAGGTCCAAAAAAAACAGACTTCTATCAGGATTTACACCAGTGTCCTTAGCACCAAATACAATAAACCTCTCAGGCTCTTTGGAAGAAGAGCAGAGGAACCAGAAATGGACCTAAAGCAGTTAAGACTAGTGTGGAAAGATACTGGTTAACAGAATACTAGGAGATGTCTAGATCAAGCAGAAGATGTGAAACTTGGTGTCTCCACAACCGGAGAGTGGGAGAAGTGGGACAGCAGTAGGGAAGAGTGCCTTACAGTCACAGCACTACCTACATTTCTACCATCAGTGCAGAAGTTACAGCAGACATGTCCTGAGGAAGGATAAACTAGCAACAGTACTTTTCTGTTACTTTGCACAGTAGAAACCACCACTTGTCCCCTTGAACTTCTTTACAAAACAGTCCCGAACTCTGCACTACCGAAACAGAAGAAAACCACCCCCCAACAATAAAAAAACTTCACACATTTAAAGAACCACCCAGCACAGCCCATTTTTGATGGCAAAGACTCTAGACTGAACAGTTCTGTAGGTAACTTGCTTTTCAGCGGCTCAAGGCCTACCTTGCTCCTTAAAGCCATCAGTGTTACTTCCAGCATTGACTATTGTGGCATAGATCCGCTTAGCCATAGATCTCTTGGTCAAAAGAACAACAACAACAGCCTCAGAGCGACAATATCCATTTCCTGAGAGCAGATAGAGAAAAGAACAAGTCACTAATTCTGCTCTGCTTTAAAAAAAAGTTGCAAAACACCGTGCAGTAAGGTCATCTCATTCCTGAGCTACCGCTTACAACAGAGTGCTTTGAGACTATGACATCTCTATTCCTTTTAAAAGAATTCATGTCCTAAAAAGGCTTGCTGCCGATCACAAATGATGATAGAAAGTCTCCATCAAGAGACAGCTATTTCCTCTCTGCTATGGCTGAGAAATGAACCATCCAGTTTCTTCCCCACAGTTAGTTTTCCAGGTTCAATGAAGCATGCAACACACATCAAGTCTAGGGCACGTTCCAAACACCGCATCTAGGAACAACTACAAGGCCATGTCTTTGCTCTGTTTCAAGAGTATCTGATCACAGACTCCACAATAAGTTCCTCTCATACAACATGCAACCTTTTGTACTAGTGTCTTACCTGAAACATCAAATGCCTTGCAGGCACCATCAGGACTAAGCATACCCAGTTTCATGAACTGTACAGAAGTGTTGGGTTTCAGCAAAATGTTGACCCCTCCTACTAGGGCTGCACTGCACTGTCCATGACGAATTGCCTTATAAGCATTTTCCAGAGCAATAAGACTAGAGGAGCACGCTGTGTCAATAGTTATGCTTGGTCCTTAGGGAACAGAAAGGCAAAACAAAAAAGCTGGGTTTTACTGTTCATTTCCTAGAGTTGCTCTCCGAAGACCATAGGATGGGATCACAAGAGAAACATCTTCAAAAAAAATGTTAAGTAAGAGTTGCTTCAGAACATAACAGATAATCCTGATACAATGGCAGACAAGTATCACTATCTCTGCCTGCTTACCAGGTAACAAAGGATGAGAAAAGTGCACACAAATTGCAAACTGTTTAGCTTTAAGGGTATTTTTTTGTTTGTTTTAAATTCCATCTCTGTCTCCATCAAAAAGATATTGTAGCTTCACAGCCAGATGTCATCTATTTCCCCATTCTCACCAATAAAAATCCCTCCCCATTCTTACTGCTACCCTTGCCATTACCTCTGTTCTCTGCTGCTCTTCATAGCAATTCCTATGCCTCCACCCTCTTCAGTGCCACACACAGTTCAAGTCATATCTATGCCTTCAATCACATCCTTTTGGTGGCTCTCCCGCTTCACTCAAAAAAAGCCAACTGGTTCAGTCAGTTTATATCCAGGCTAGCTGACTTCTACACAGCTTGACACCAAATAGCAGTCTAAAGGCTGGAAAGGACCTAGACCTTCTTATGAAGGCCTCCTGACATCATCATCTTTCAGATGAATGCCAGCTATGCCCGTCAGCAGCAACTGAGTTAAAGCCTTACAGCGAGTCTTATTACACACTTACAATACATTTTCTGCTTCTCATATGCCTCCTTACAGTAGCTGCATGCTACTTTCTCATCCCAAAATGTGTCTATGTCACCATAACCACCCCACTCCTCTACATAAGCTATGGTACAACCATGCTCAAATTGGAATTGCTGATCAGCATCAACAGGTTTGGGGGCACTTACCTGTTAAGTCATAAAAGTAGGAAATCCTGTTGGCAAACATAGCACGCTGGCAGCCAGTCATACTGTATCCCAAAAGCTCTTCTGGATCTTGGCTAAGGGCTTCAGCAGCTTCTGACCCACTGGCACCAACCCATACACCTGTGTCTGTGCCACGGAGGGTGGCTGGATTAATACCTATGGGGATATTGGAAGATAGATTACAGTAGACAAACTTATAATGAGTGGCAAACTGGGGAGACATCAGATACACTGGCACCAGTTCAAGAGCTGCTACTTACTGTCCATTTCTGGCAGGCCTGCAACATTGTTCCCTTACCTATAGCTACCTTATATCTGTTTCAATTGCAGACCTTCACAATTCTCACTGCAAAGTCCAACAGAACTTTGGTGCTGGCTTTTGGCCAGAACACCTTGTGCATGGAGACAGCTCTTCAACTTAGCAGGACATCCCCATAGCTTTGTGTTAAAAAAAAAAAAAGTGCACGGACTATGAAAGACAAACGCTGATCAGATTAGCTAACAGCTGGCTTTCATGGCAAAAAAAAGAAACAGACCAAAGGTAAGAAAAATCACAGGACCTGGAATGTCATGTGAGCACATGATTACCTGTCTCTAGCCACACACAAAGCCCAGATCTGGAGTACAAGACAGAAAGGAAAAAATCTTCAGCACAGAAGCCAACAATCAGAACAAGAAACAACTCTTCTCTAAAAAAAAAAAAACAAACAAAAAAAAACCCCAAAAAAAAACCAAACACAGCAAGCTCATCTTGCAGCAATCTTTGCTGTTTCTTCTCTGTGCTTCAGGAGTCCTGAAGACAGGGAGAATATTCAAGCCTCCAGACTGAGGCTCAGCAGTAGAAGAGCAAGTGTTAAGTTTACTAAGTCAGTACTAGTGAGGTGGTTCCAACTTTTTCCTATACGTTTCTTATGATCAGACATGAAACTGATTAACACAAAAAACAATTTTTTTGTCTTTCTGTGTAGCTCAAAAGATTAAGACACTGGCAGTGATGGAGGAAAGAGGCTCCTGTTTCTGAAAGCACACTTCCTGGGCGAGCCTTCTATAGAAGCAGATCAAGTGCCACAAATTTTCCATGAACCTGGCCAACAGACAGGAATCCATTAAGCCATCTGCCATTCCTTTAGACCACAGATAAAAATTCTAACCAAGTCATCTTGCTGTTGCACTACAAATACACCTTTAGCGAAGGGACCTATTACAGAATATTAGGGTAGAGCAGAACATACAAAAGCTCTAGAACTGTTGACTGTTTAAGTGTTTCTGTTGTACTGATTGTACCATATGATGCAGCTAGAGATCTGCTGGCAGTCGGTATAGATTTCTAAGTTTGAGTTCCAGAGAAAACAGCTTTGTTCTAACCCTCATATCAGTTCTTTGGTCTCCTCTCTAATGTGATGGCTTTCTCTTGCTAGAGATCTCATCACATCTGTGCATGTCTGCACCTATTGCACAGAGACAATACAGCACAATTCTCCCTCTTCAGTCATCCAGCTGCTTACCTCCATCCAAAATAGCTTCATAAGAAACTTCCAACAGCAAGCGAAGCTGAGGATCCATCGTATGAGCTTGTTTGGGGTGAACCCCAAAAAAAGATGCATCAAATTTGCTTATGTCCTTGAGCTTTCCATTTCTCTTGGGCAGTCCATAAATTCCTGACAAGAAAAGTTCAACACTGAATCACGGAATACACCAGTTTTGAGGCAGCTACCAGCTGAGACAAAGTATGGAATGACCACAGCCAACTGTCAATTACATGTGAAACCTCACTTCCCTGATGCAGTACCCACAGCGCTGCAAGAATATCTACCTACCCATCTCTCAATCTCATCTGAAAGTGAGAACACTGCATTAACAAAAACAAATGTCATTTTTAAGACTCTCCCAGATATGGCACCAAAGACATCTACCTAGTTCAAGCATTTTTGCTTTGGCAAGTGGTTCCGAACACATACAGAGTCCAAATCAGCAGTTCCAGTCAGTTGCCAGGCAGAAGAAAAACAAAGCTTTCACTTCTGCAAATCGCTAGCATGAATTGGATAGACGTGTGCCAATCACTTCAGAAAGACAGTCAGGCACAAAAGAACATTGTAAAAAGCCGTAAGTCGCAGGACTGGAGTCCCTGTGCTACTTCTGAACCCAGAAAAATGACAGAGTCGTCTTACTGCCACAGCTATCAACAGCAGAATTCATGTTGCCTAGCTGCTCTGTCAGAGTGTTCTTTTACTAGAAAGCAAGCTATGTATTATTTATAAGCTACTACTGCATGGGACATGACATTTTATAATGGATTGCATTAGACCTTCATAAAAGTGCTCTGTTCCTGAATTTCTTTATGATGTATCAAAAATTAATCCAGAAGCTCTGTCAGTTTTACACCTGGTAAATCCTTCACTTTCATAGGATAATTCCTCTAAAGTGCTCAGAACTCAGGGCTCCAAGAGGAGAGACAAGCAGCACTCACCTGGTTTCCACCTCCGATCATCCTCTGTGACCATATCAACTCCATTAAGCAGGTTCTCCCAAAACTCTTGCAAATTCTCTGATTCTGGCAGCTTTCCTGCTATACCTGCTATCACCACGTCCTCCATCTCTAAACTTCTCCCTGTTGCTGAGATCCACAAAGCAGTTAAGACTAGTAAGACTTCACACAGAGAAGGAAAGTATACGTGTTTCTTTTCTTCCTGACATGTGACAAACAGGCATATTTGCAGGAGAAACACCCACACAGGAACAGCCCATGGAGTCTCTACTAAAAAAAAAAAAAGACATCCCAACTAATCAAATGGACCATAAGATCCGTGGGGACAATGAGGAGCAAAAAACTGATCCTGAGGAGTGTTGGTCTCTGAGAACTGACAGTTTCTACATGACAACTAGAAAACAAACAGGTCCAGATCTACTAAATGGCAGAGCCTCTGTGAAGTCAGCAGAGAAGAAAGATTAACATGCTGGAGCAGAGGTGGGTGGAGAAATTATGAAATACATATAGTAAAATACATAATTACAAGGCAAACCTAACAGGTAGCAAAACAAGTTCTACGATCATTCCAAAGTTAAATGCTAACTTAAGAATCAATAACAAAAAAAAGTTTGTTGGAGGGGAAAAAAAAACCCCAAACCAAAGCAACAAAAACAAACACCCCCCCAACCTCTCAAAAAAAAAAACCCCAAAACATACACACAGGACAAAACCCATACAAAAACACAAAGATTACAATACAACTTTGCATCAATTTAAATACCCAAAGCAAGAAGTACGTTTTACCAACGAAGTGTTTCCCAACTGGACCCTGCACTGCCACATGCTTAGAGGCCTGGGAATGGGGCACTGAGTACATGTGATAGAGAGTGGTTCTTTAAAATAAAAGTTGGCAGAACAGATCTGGATTCCGAATGGGATGAAAAACCTTAGCTGTTGTCTCAAGAAACTTGCATTCTAAGACCCCAATCTCAAACACCACAAGATGGCATCACGCTATATAACGCAGCATGGCAGGCCATCTACACAGATCACAACACCAGATGACAGCTATATATTACAGTCACACTAATTCAATTTATTCTCTATTACACTAAAAATGTATTAACAACTAAGCAGAGAGAAGACAAGTTAACCTGATGTTTCAGTTAGAATTGACAAACTGTAACTTGAACTTTAGTAGGCAAGTTAAAGGAGAGGGGGGGAAAAACCCCATACATATATGGGTTATTTTTATATACATGAAAACAAATAAAAGTGTGGTTGTATGAACAAAAGAGGTAGTAAACATTCACAGTACTTCCTTAAATAATCCTTCCAGTAAGCAGAGGCAAAATATTCTTTAGAGCTGATGTGTGGGATTTTAACAAGTAAAAACCACAAAGAAAACTGGGTATTCAAATAGCTAGAAGTCTGCCTTAACTTTGAAGGAAAGACTTTGCAACAGAAGACCTAAAGTCTGACTTCCATCACAGATTATGCTCCGTAGTGCCATGAAGGCAGTTTGCTTAAGTGCTGCTGGTGCTCGATCGTCTTCTCCATAAAACAGCACTAGTGGGTAGTCTTAGACAAGCACGTCATAGCTGTTTTTTCCAACCCAAGACATTTCATTTAGGCATGGTTTTGCAGCCTCTTTCAGGAGTTCCTGATGCTTCTGAGCAAGAAACAGGCCTCTTCCATGCACATACTGCTCAGGTGTAAACACATTCCTGCAGCTGAAAGAGGCTGGGGTGCACACACGGAAAGCAAAGCCCTCTGGTTAGCTGAGGTGTAGCCCAGCCAGAACACACCACCACCGGGGTTGCCCGATTTCTTTTACCCTTCTTTCCTTCAGCAATTATCTTGATTCAGATCTATGGAGTAACTGTGGAATTACACAACATTGAAGTAGAAGAGATGATTACCTCATCCAGTCCATCCCTTCTGGGAGCAGAAACAGAAGTGCTCCCAAAAGGACATCTTGGACTTTTTCACTCTTATGCTAAACACCCAGACAACAGAAGTTCCATTCCACTCTTGTTTTTCATTTACAAAGGGAAACACTAAGGGCCAAATGTGCAAGGCCCTTACTGACAAACTATTCCCCAAAACCAAAGCTGGTAGCAATAGGCCCAGTCCACTCCAGGCTGAAGAGAAGCCTTTCAGTTTCACCACTCACACAAATCTGTTAAGTTAGTTTTATTGCTGGTGTAACCAACTGTACCTGGAAAACCTGGTCAAGGGCCACAACTCTGCTATTCTTGCAGCAGTTCTGCACTAGGGGCAGAGGAAGAATGGATCTCAGGCACAAAGCTTACAGTCTAAGCATAAGGCAAGAGACATATGAGATGATAATGTGATTATAATTCAATCTTATGCTGCAGCTTGTTGGGCAGTGATCTCTAGGGAGAAAAATAACGTGCCCATCCCAAATCTCTTTCCCAAGATGATCAGAAAAACTCCATCTAGGTACAGCCAATCTGGATAAAATGTTCTTCTAAGACAGTGAAGTAATGGAATTTATCAGCGAAACTATTTTTGCCAACATATTATGAATGTAGTTGAGCGAGACTGTGTCAAAGGTGGAGAAAAAGATGCTGCAGTAATCAAAATGTAGAAGAATAAGAGCCAAGAAGTTAATTTTAGCTGGGTGAATGGATACAAAGAGTCACAACTGAAAGACTTTTTACACACAAAGAACTGGAAATATTTAGACTCAGCACAAAGAGTCCCAAATGCCTATGTCTAAAATAACATACAAATTACGGATTTAGCAACAAACAGTAGAGATGATTTGCTGTGGAAAACAAGAGTGGGAAGAGGAAAAGTTATGAATATTAAGTCATGCCTAATTAAACAGTGATTAAAGTAGATGTTAAGGCTACCAGAAATGTCTTTGGTCTTCCCTGACAGATAATAAGCAGGTACACCATTGTAAAGTTGATTGACTCTACTCCCAAATGGTGCACTATTTTACTATATTAGACACTCATTTTTGTCTGTAGAGAATTTTTAGACTATGCACAGTATGTTGACAGTTTTTGAAGTATAGGACATAGCACAGATGAAGAAAGAAAATTCTTTCTACAGCCTTTTTAAAAGAGATTGGAATACAGTAAATATACAGGTTCCTACTACATTTGATGAGCAAGATGATCAAAAGCAACAGGTCAAAAAAGAAGACAAAGAAGATAATGGTACAAACAGGATTCTCACATTTCTTACGGCTGTATTTTGCTGGATCTAACCAGTCATCTAACATCCTTTTTCCTGTTTACCCTTCGGTTTTGCTTGAATTGAATTACATGAATTCTTCCCAGACAGCCTGTATTTTTAACTGAGGGGAGAGGAGGGAGAAGCAAACACCCCCACCTCCCACAACGCATCAGTCCGACAGACACCTCAGTTAAGCATAAACTACCACCTCACTGGATTTACACAACATTTTCTGGCAATGATGTTGCACTGCTGACTCATTCAGTTTGTGACTGGTAATAACTAACAATCCCTTCTGGTATTATTGACCAGTAACAACTTTCATCACTTTATACCTGTGCTCTGGTTATCTACCTCCCACATAAGCTATTTGACAAGGCTGGTCTGTTTATTGATGCCAGTTCCTTTCTCCAATCATGTTATACCTTCTTAACCTTGTTCTCTATGTATTGGATACCTCCTGGTATCATGTTAGCTTAATGCTATTATCAAACTTACTTTCAAGTTGGAATACTTTTCTCCACTGCATTTAAAATATTTGATTTTTAGCACCTCACTAATCCAGCACCAAAAATGAATCAAGAAGAAAAGTATCAATCATAGTTTTCCACCATCCCTCACAGCTGTACTTTTTTTTTTTTTTTTTTTTTATTTTTCAGTTATCTACTTCTAGGTAATCTATGTGAGGAAGTAAGAAAAGCCCCCCCCCCCCCCCAAAAAAAAAAAGCAAAGGTAAAATTTTATTTCTTCTCCCACTCACACCTGACTTGCCAACTACTGAAGAGAATACTTTTCTTATTCTGTTATACCTGTGTCCACCTACGGTTCAGTGCGGAAAGAAGCGGGAGAGGTAGAGCAGAAGAAACAACAAATAAAACCCAAATCTTGTTTGGCCTGATGCACAGTTCTCTTTCCTAGACAGAAGCACAATATTTATTTCACTGTTATTTTGATGGTTGTTATCACATTGGGACAGAATCAATTACTGTTACTGTTTCTAGGCAGTCTAAATCCTGATCTTTTTTCGAGCTCCCATTACTGTAAAATGAAACATCCATGACTCCTCCATAGCTTCCTTCAGCACAGATATTGACAAAAGAATTGCTTTCTAAGTTTTATTTAGAGATTTGGAAACCTGGATTATGATGTCGCCATACTGAAAAACTGTCATTACATAGGAACTTCATTTGCGAAGAGCTACGTCTGCCTCCAAAAAACCTTTTACAAAATAGAGGGAAACACAGCTTGGTGTAGCACTTGGCTACATCAATCTGTGTGCTACAGCTTTGGTTTAACAAAGACCTTTTAACTGTCTCTTTCCGTTTCGAGACTGGATTTGTCCCACTGACCACAAGACAAGTGAAAAAATGGTACAAAGACAAATTTAAAATGCACTATTTAACAAGAAATTTTGTTCAGAGCTGTTATTTGAGAAAAGTAGGTTAGATTTCACCCATGGAATCAACACAGCTGATTCCCGAATGGTCAGAATTGATTTGTACAAAAATTTAAGTCCCCAGTATCACTAGATCATGTTTGTAAAATATTTGTTCATAACAGGCCTCCACGTAGGGCCCTCATCATCTGAATTCATCCATAAAATGCAGCTTTTCACAACGTACTATTATTTTCAGTTTGACTCAAGAACCATGCACACTGAAGGAAAATGTGAACTCTTTGCTCATGTACCTTGAGGCTTTTCCTGCCTTTCATTTTTTCTTCCCCCCCCCCCCCCACGGCAAAACCACCTTTAACGGCCCCCAGCACTGCTCTGTAAAGGAGTATGGGAGTTAACGTACACAGTCTAAACATTGCCTGTTTCAGTTTATTCAGCCAAATAAAGCCTTTAGCTAGGAAAATATGCAGTCAGTATCTCCAAGCGCCCTATGCTGGGGAAGGAATGGGGAATAAAAATCCAACAGGAGCAAAAA